CCCTTATCCCTAAAGCCAACCCCTTAGTCCTTATAAGGAATAGGATTACTGAACCCATGCCACTTAGACCATAATTAGGACTCTTAATTATATAAATAGGGACATAGAAGGCACCTAGAACTGACACCACAAATAATCCCTCACCACACAAGAAAGTTCCAAGAACTCCGTTAGGAGAAATCAAGAAAGGAGAAATCCAAAAGAAAGACCCTTCATAGCCAAGGAAATTAATTAAGGCTAAGAGGTAACCCATGTCTCAACAAAACCTATTTTCTTCGCTATAATCTCCTTCTTTGGCCTCCCTCTATATTCTTGTGTCTCGATTGAATTCTTCTATGATAATTATATTATGTTCTTGATGATTGATAAGATGACTTATATGCTTTCCTGATAATCTTGATGATCTTGATGTTAAAAGGAAATTCTTGATTATGATGTGATGATTCTTGATGGATCTTGATATTTTCTTGATGTTAAAGATAAAACATGTTCTTGATGATTTGGGTGGGATTAGAGCCCTAGGTCGGATTGGGAATTTGTATTGTGACGTTCTTGATTTATATTTGGGTGGGAATTCGCATGATCGGGTGTTGTTTATATATAGGATAAGTCCTACGTGATTCTTGCTTTTGGTCCATTAATTGCTTATGTGATGTCGTTATTTGCGTTTAAAAGTGTCTAAGCATGGTTTCGGGTTCCACAAAGGATCCCGGGACAAATTTGTAACAAATGAGTCAGTGGGGGGTAGGTGGGGGTGGGGGAACCCACCACCTACCCGCTGCCCAAAAGGGCGCTGCCCGGCAGCGGGCAGCCACCGGGAAGCCGGCTACTCGCCGCCCGGAACGGCGCCCACCGGCGGGCAGCCGGCGGGTGACCCCCACCCACCGGCTACCCGTTGGTCCACACCCCACCCCGGGTCCCCGGCTTCCCCGTTTGATGTTCCCCGTTCCCCATGGTGTCCCAACGGACCCCGTTTGTCGTGTCTGAGTCTAGTTTAGAATTTCGGGTACCATTCGTAGGTTAAACGAGTCTTAGGAATTGCATGCTAGTTGAATTGGTAACCCGTGGACCTAGGTGGAAGTTATATGAGCCCTTAGGAATTATTCTTAGTATGTGGATGATCACATGTAAGCTTAATTATATGTCTCCCCCCTTCCCTATGTGAATTATGTGTTATTATGTGTTATTGTGTGTTACGTGATGCATGACCCCAACTTGGCTAAGATCAATTGGGCTATACGGGCAGTTGAATGGGATGAGAAACATCCTAACTGTTAACCAGGCCGGTTGAGATCGGTCAGAGATATTAATATGATATAGGACTGAGATCCACTATACGGGCAGTTGAATGGGTTGAGAACCATCCCAACTGTTAACCAGGCTGGTAGAGACCGGTCAGGTATATAAAGATTATGTATAGGACTGAAGGTCCACATGGGCCTCGATGATATGACCCACCGACCGGGACGCGCCAGGTGGTATGGGGCCAACAAGTCGAGGAAGGTTGTAGTCCACCGACCTGAGTAATCAGGCGGTGTGTAGGGCTACGACTGGCTGCGACCCACCGAGTGGTGGGACATCGGTATGTAGGACCGTAGTCTCCGAGGATCTTTGCCCACCGTCTGAGTTTAGCTCAGCGGTGTGTCGGGCTTGATCCACTACGGCTCACCGATTGTGCGTATCAACGGTGTGTAGGGTCGTAAGTCCCCCCTTGTAAAGGGGATCGCGGTCCACCGACTGGGCGCGTCAGCGGTGTGTCGGATCGTGGTCCGACGTTGAGTTCGTCAGCGGTTCTCAAAGGGTTGGTTGCGATCAACTCCCCTCGTACCGCGGTACTGAGGTAGGGTGCTGCGGGGCCGTGTTAATGCTATAGGCATTAACCCTCATGTTCGGGGCATGCGATTGGTCCCGTGGCGCCATCAACGATTATGTGATATGAATGATGATTGGATGATGATGTGGATTGGAATTGTGTAGTGGCTTGTGACCTTAAATGCGTATTCCTTATGATGTTATTGTTGTTGCCTGATGTACTTATCCCTATTTGCTGAGTCTATTCCTGGTTTTAAAACTAGTGTCTCTTAAGTATATGTCTTCTTGCTTCGAAATGATTTTTGTATATCTATATATATATATATATATATATATATATATATATATATATATATATATATATATATATATATATATATATATATATATATATATATATATATACTATATTTCAACGCGTTGGAGTGGGTTACCAGCATCTCTAGCTGAACAGATATATTTGGCTTTCAGGCACAGAGGAGTAGACACTGGAGCGCGCTAGAGGTTTGGAGCGTAGAGTAGATAGTTTCCCATTCGGCCTGCGTGCCATGCTTATGTATTTACATTATCGAGGATATTAGTTAGTTAGCCTGTGCACCTGGGTTCTCTAGCCCAGGTGTGGCATAGCACCCCGTACTCTACTGTATATTGTTTTGGGATTTAATGAGAATTTAACTTTTTTATATAAGTTTCAAAAGTTTTAAAATTTCGGGGTGTTACAGTTAAGCCATCTAAATCAACATTAGGAAAATGAGAGAAAAAATAAGAACCAAAAGAAAAAAAAAACAGTGTTAATAAACTTACTCATTCTTCTCACCCAGTAAAACGAAGCCCTCATATTGCTGCGTTCAACGGATTCGCCGGCCATGGCGTCGTGGTTGAATCGATTGCTTGAACTGTCAATGCTCCATTGGTTATGTCGCTTCTTCGTCTGGAAACTTCAAAACGGTAGTCAGCAACAATAATAAAGGAAATTGAAGAAGATGGGTACGAGAGTCGCAGAGCTTCCTTCGAAAACCATTGCACAATCTTTGGTTATGTCAATGCTTCTTTGGTTATGTCACTTCTTCGTCTGGACACTTCAAAACGGTAGTCAGCAACAATAACCATGGAAATTGAAGGAGATGGGTACGAGAATCGCGGAGCTTCCTTCGAAAACCATTGCACGATCTTACGTTTTTATCCCCAACTGCACAATTT